ATATATATATATATATATATATATATATATATATATATAGATATAGATATATATATATATATATATATATATATATATATATATATATATATATGGATTCGAGGTAAATCTCAAATGAACGTTTCGTGTTTATTGTAAATCACTGCTAGCAAGAACTGTTCCGAATTCCCGTTCAAAAAGAAATAAAGACAGTTGAAAGGAGGATTTCTCGGTGAGGAACTTCAGTAGCTGTGTAGTATTTGTAGTAGTAGTAGTAGCAGTAGATAATATTTGGAAACTATGCAGATCGCAGAAAACATTTTTATTATGATCAATATTATTACCAGTAGCAGCAGTAAAAGCAGCAGCAGTAGTATTAGTAGTAGTAGTAGTAACAGCAGTAGGAATAGGTGTAGTAGTAAAACAACAGCTTCAAATAACGTTATTGTTTTCGAGGAAATGTTTCCAACGTTTTTTGTTTTATGTTTTATGTCCACAGTTTTCTGAAGTACATTTTACCATTGAGAATAAAATGGTATAAAAGAAAGCCCTCGTAATTCATGACTGATCAAAAAGTCCATTAATTTTAACAACGCTTTTAGTCATCTGTTTTATTGAGGTTAACAATCCACGATTAAATGTGGATTAATGTTACATGACATTAGATTACGATAATATGAACAATGTATCGCTACAATAGATTGATGGGCTTCATACTAATTTGAATATTTTGTCCATTAGTATAAATCGATTCTATCAAGTTTGCCATTTCAGCAAAAGATCTTTTGCTAAAGGAATCAACAACGTTATATGAAAAGTACATTAATTTTCTCAGCAATTAATCGCATAATATGAATTGATTAAGTGAAAGAAAAGATTTAAAAATTGCTAATTAAAGATATTTTTTATAAAGCAATTGAAATAACTTCAGATGTAGAGCACATTTTCAAAATCCATGCTTGTCCCTGGGCCCAGTAGACCTTTTAGTTGATCAGAAAATTACTGCAGTAGTCCACCAAGCTATACTAGTAAAATGTATTCAACAATGTAGTCATAATTGAACATATTACTTGTAATTCAACACGAATATTGCTAATGAATCTTGTCAAACATATGTACACATTTACCTATTATGTTTAAGATTAGCAAATAAAAATGAATCTTACACTGACACTTATTTTCCATGGGTGTTTAAGACCACAAACATAGGCACGTTGCATGTTTGATGTTTGTCTCAATTTACATCATTGATATTCACATTCTCGTTAACCCGATGCTGTTAATTCTCTGTCTAAATCGTCCGAACATAACATGCAACCATAAGCTGTGACGCAATCAAGATTTATAATTGGTTTAGTTTGAATGATTCTGTCCACAATATTATTGTGTGGGTGCGTGTGGGTGGGTGTTTTTTTATTTACACGCGTGACAACAATGGCAGTCGTTTAACAATTTGAGTGGATTTAAGGCAAAAAATATCCATTTTTTACTGTTAATTTACAGTTATACATTGATTATTTTTACTTTTTTTGCTTGACTTCAAATCGAATGTGGTTAAAAGACATGGAATACGTTAATGACATTGTCAACTAAAACAGAACTCGAATAAACCATTTTCTAGGCTTTTAAAGCGAATAAAGTTTTATATATGGATGTGGTTTTTTTTAATTAACTGTACAAACTCATAAGATACGTAATCATCATAGTTTATATGGCATATATATTTTTCTAATACATATTGCATGTTATGAGATATTACAGAAAGAAACTCAAGTACAAATATAAGATAAGAAATTTAGGAAATTCATTCTGAACCTACTAACATACTAGAAATTTTCTATAGCCTAATTTCAGAAATTTATTGAAGTGGATATAAGTACATGGATTTTTGCTGGATTTGCAATCTTCAGTAATAACTAATTTTGTATTGTTTTAAAGTCGAATGAAATTTAACTTCTTTTTAAAGCAAATATGTACGTCCAAATATGATCATGCCTTTCCAGTATTTGTATATAAAATTTAGTTATTTTAAAGAAAATTGAAATAATACATATTTAAATGTAAACGAAACCCGTGGCCGTAATCAGTGGAATCAATTTTAATGAATATATTAGTGTACCTATATTGAAAAAATTCAAAATTTATATGTATTAAGACGTGAATTTAATTGAACTTTCCAATTATTGAAACCATAATGAAAACAAATGCTGTTAAAAATGCCGGAGAAGTGATAGATAAAATGTAAATCCGGTTTATCAGTCAAGGAGTTTGTATAGTGTGTAGAAGGCAGACTTTCTCCAAAGTACTAACATCAATTATATTTCATTAAAACTCCACAAAGAAGTAATCGTACCTATAATTTGTGGCAACTGGCATTTCATATAATGGATATCAGAATCTATGGATTATTTCGTGAGGCCACATATCTCTAAATTACCGTCATTTTTTTTTTTTTTTTGCACAACGATATCGTCGAAGGATACCTTTAGAAGTTATGAATATTACTCCGCTGTGATACAAAATTTTATATTAGTGAACAGTCTGTCGGTGCATCGTCTTAAAGTACTCACTATACACCCCTGCATACTTTCATAGACTGATAATACAAATATTAAGTGTCATTTTGCTTTTACCTGTTGGGATTTTGTTCATGCATTGGAAGACTACACTTCCAACCTCATTTCAGCTTTCAAATAGTCTGCCGCTCATCGAATCTTTGATAAAAGGATTCAGTCAAAAATCAATTGGAGCTAAATAGTGGCTGCATGGAGCATGTGGCCAAATTTGGATAGCTCCTTTCCTTTAGAAAGACTGTCACGATGGCGGATTTACGCGATAGTGAATTGTTATGGAGCAGATGGTGGCCTCGCATCCGATAGGTCGTGGGTTCAATCCCCGGCCGAGTCATACCAAAGACTTATGAAAACGGTACAAACAGCTGCCTCGCTTGGCGCTCTTCATTAAGAGGTTAGTGTCAGGTCTGTTTAACTGCACTATAAAGTGCCACACTGTAGACATTGTAGCGATATGACTAAAATTTGTTACAGCTATGTTAAAAATCCAAAATCTCACTCACACACACACACACACACACACACACTTAGTAGATGGGCTTTTCTAGTAAAGATTAGAAGATTGGTGGTTACGTAGTGTTCCACAAACTTTAACAATCCTTTGGAGGCATGAAAACATCTCATGATTCTAGCAGAGACAGGCCCAGATTTCTGAACGACTGGACATTTAAGAAAAACAAAGGCTTATAAATCTCTCTTGATAGTCCAATTACGTTAAATTGAAAAGAAAGTTTCTTTTTAATTAAGGATGAAACCATACAATTTATCTTTCAAATCACAATCACAGTGGCAGACTAAGATGATGATAAGCTATCTTCTCTTTATCGATAAACCTCACGCCCAGTCAAACAAAACTAGAGGATAATGGAGAAACTGAACAACACAATATCTCTTGGATAAATACATATAAAAATATATTTCACTCTGAATTAAACTTAAATTCAGGTTAAGATAAAGTTTAATACCACAGTGGTAAAAGGATGCTTTATTCAATGTTAAAAATATATATATTTAAGTCTTGTTGAATGTAACGATGTAACTAAATGATTCTTAATATGTTTATTGTGGACTTGTAGTTCCACCAAAAGCATAAACCTTTCAGTCTGTTCAAGCTTCACCGATGCTAAATTCTCATTTTAAAATCAATATTAAATGCTTTTTGTAAAATATAGATAACATAGAAATCACGAAAATCTGTTTAAAATATTGAAATTTATTACACATCGGAAAGCGTATGAAAACAGTTAATCTGGAAATCTCGAAAAGGAAATTAGCTAATTAATATAGAATTTAAAATCGTTAAAGTAATCTAATACAGGACTGAAAATTGGTTGTCATGCTTTAAATGATTAACAGTTTTACCGAATACATATAAATCAACCGTTTCACGGAATGAAAACATTGGGTGCAATGTACGAGAGAGAGAGAGAGAGAGAGAGAGAGAGAGAGAGAGAGAGAGAGAGAGAGAGAGAGAGAGAGAGAGAGAGAGAGAGAGAGAGAGAGAGAGAGAGAGAGAGAGAGAGAGAGAGAGAGAGAGAGTGTGTACTTGGGTCCAATTATAGGTGTTATTGAAACAGTTGCAATAGGTTTTGAAAAAAATCCTTCCAGAGATCCAGCAACTGGAACGTTGATTAAAAAAACAGATTATGTGTTATTGTTTGCTATCCAAGCAAATAGTCAGTTTGCCAACTCAGCGATATTCTTGTGATATCTAGATGACTTTTATGATGTCCAACACCTATAAAACACGCAACAATAACCATACACCATGTTGAGTACTGTATATAATTTGTGCTACCCAAGCGATGATTGGTATGTATGTGTATATATATATATATATATATATATATATATATATATATATATATATATATATATATATATATATATATATATATATATATATATATAATACTAATCATATGACAAAAAACAGCTATTTTAAGCGCTCTGGATCCAGCAAGGGATCACGTGTGTCAGGGATTGATCGATATATATTTTTATATTAACCTAGTTGCAATTACTAACAACCATAACTGGAGTTCCGAAACCAGGAAGGAAAAGAAATCTTACTGGATACGCCGCCTTAGAATATTAAAACCAAACGTTTTAAACCAAGAAGAGTAGAATAAGACAGTCATGCACAAGTTGAATTATCCATTGTAGCCGACGCATTTTCTCTTCTAAACTTTTATTAATTTCGTTTGTAGCATTCAGTTACTGATATAAGAATGACATATCCGAAATATAATTTGCTCTTACATAAATACACAAAAAGTAAATGATAGCGCTATGGCTCATCGATTTCTAGGTTAATACAAATATTATCCAGTATGCACAACATGCAGCCATGTACAGTTTTGAAAAAACAACAGTTTTTGCGTTTTATTTGTTTGCTTTGTCTATGTTTTGTATATGCCAAAAAAAAGACATTACGAGTCGTAGACCGCTATGGTGGCTTGGTGGTTAGAGCGTCCGTCTCAAATGCGGTAGGTCGTGGGTTCGATACGCGGTCGAGTCATACCAAAGACTTACAAAAATGGTACTCAGAGCTGCCTCGCTTGACGCTCAGCATTATGAGGTTATTGTTAGGACTGGTCAGCCTGGTGTCAGGATAATGTGAGTGGGACATCATGCTACATGTCTGTAGCATGATGCTCCAGTAATAGGCATCGATATAAACTGCCACTTCGCAGACATCGTAGCAATATGACTGAAAAATTGTTAAAGCTACGTTAAAATTCTAAATCACCCACCCACCCACTAATCGTTGTATGCTCTCAGGCTAGTTTGATACTAGTTCTGCATTGTTCGTTGTCAGTCTAATGCATATATATACATATATATATATATATATATATATATATATATATATATATATATATATATATATATATATATATATATATATATATATATATATATATATATATATATATATGTATGTGTGTGTGTGTGTGTGTGTGTGTTTTCGTGCTTCAATGGATGTGTTACCACTCATAGTCTTACAGGCAGGCTGTATTAATCTTGTGGACGTTGTTCGTCTTAAGTTTATGGGGCTTAACCGTTATGTTTTCTGCTTTGGGCAAACAAAGTCCACGAAGCCATAACTAAAGCACTCGATAAGATCACGTGTCTGCCGGATGAACCAATGGTAGTTTGTTCAAGACTTCGGATGGAATATGTTCACAACAAAGCAGACTTACATTGCCCTTGACAATGTAATGTTACGTATGCAATAATTTCAAACCCTTGCCAAAAGGTTTGATGGTTCAGAGGGTAGAGAAATTGTACCAAAGATAATGGCTCTACCTAAAAATGTCGGGGGTCTAATTAAACGTATGAAATGTTCAAGTTTTCTGGTAAAGCTTTTATTAACTTTTCTGCGAAATGTTCACTATTAATGGAATAAATTAATATTGGTATGTGGTGAAATTGTTCTTTAATCTTGCATAGGAGATAAATATCGGACAGCTTGTCCTGAACTAAACAATAATTTAAAGAAATGTTATATATACAAGTTCAAATCACCTGCAATGTAATTATCTTTTTGCGTATTACCATTTAAAACAGTAACCTAACGTTAAGAAATATTAGTCAGAATGGCCTATACGTTGGTAAAAAGTACGATTTAAGTATTCTGTAATATATTTTATAAAGTCCAACCCAAACTTGGTGAATTATTTCATAAAGCAAATAAATACTAGACAATGTAATTCCATTTGCTATGTTTATTCTGCACATGAAGGATCTGTGATACTTCAACCCATTTTTTAAAGACCAATATCTAACCTTTTAAAGTGAATAAATGGAAATTGCCATAGCAAATATTGAATTTGATAGATTATTGAAAAATTAATACCAATCTTCTGGAAATATAACCATGGCAACTCCAAAAGCTGAACAAGGAAGAGAGTAATGACATTCTTTTCCCTTCTTAATTTATAATACGGGAGATTATAAGTCCAGACTATTTATTTCATTCAAGCATTTCTGCTCAGTCTTCCGATTTTGTCTTATTCGTATGATCGTCCTATTCATGGTTGCCCGTTGTTTTATATATATATATATATATATATATATATATATATATATATATAAATATATATATATATATATATATATATATATATATATATATATATATATATATATATATATATATATATATATCTATATATATATATATATATATATATATATATATATATATATATATATATATATATATATATATATATATATATATATATATATATATATATATATAAATCCCACGTAGCAATGGTAGATATAAAACACACCCACTGAGAACTCACATTAAACTTATAAACAGGTTCTTTAATACGAGTGATTTTCAAACTTGTCAACACTATTTATAGCTACAATGCAAATTGATTCAGGCACGAAAGCAAAGTTAAAAGCATATAGATAAAAATAACAATATATTTATTCATACAACTTTTTGACCTAAAACTACATAAAAGAAAAAAGCAAAACCCAAGAAGAAAAATTCAACAGTGTATTTACCATAAAAACATATACTATAGATAAAAATAATATATTTATTCATACAACATTTTGGCCTAAAACTACATAAAAGAAAGAAGCAAAACCCAACAAGTACACTTCAACAGTGTTTTTCTCATAATTTACATAGTAGTAATTTAAAATGAACGTGGTGTGTTCGGAAAAAAAATCCCAAATAGTTCAAAAATTTCTAACAAAACCCCAAAGGTTCAGTGTTCTAAGAGAATTTCAATATTGAATGTGCTGACGTGCCAATATTCTTAGATGTGCTATTTTAACAATCTTGATGTATCACAATGATTTAATCCGAAGTGCCCGTGAATAAATTCATAATGATCTCAAAATAATGTAATGAGTTTTTAGATGAAAATCATTGAAACTGATATTAGCGCAGACAAAACACAATTTTCATTTGTTTTTCTTGTTTAGTACTAAAAAAATAAATAAAATTGTATTTTTGATTAGAAAAAGATATATTTGCATATTAAAAGAACTGAAATGAGTATCACGTGGTAAATTCTTTTGCAGACCAATTTGGAGTGAGAACTGACGGCTAAGCGTTATAAAATAAAAATATAAAAAAAAACTTCCAAATTTTCACATATTTATTTATGCTAGAGAAACTTAACAGGTCCAGTCAGGTCAGATTGCTAAATCCCATAGACATGCCTACTTATTAGCATTGATTATTCTCACTGCAATGCACAACACTGGATAGCATTAATGAAGATAAAATTCCAATCGTAAATATTATTTGTAGCATAAATCTGTATTGTCTAGAGGATTGGTTTTCAACATTCCAATTATAAATTAAATTGATTGCCTTGGAAATTGGTTATACAAATTTACTTTATTCTAGCGCAACGACAGCCCAGTACAATTTACAATTAAAATTTAGTTCAGCTTTAGAAAATCTCATCGTTTATGCCATTGTCTGCAGGCAGTTTGGAGACTCTGCAAGCAAAAGTGTGGTTAAATGAATCCCAAGATGAATATGAGTTTAGAAGAATATGTATAATTTTCTTTCTTATGCAATGCCGTTTGGATATATTGATTGCTTTTGTCAATTCTTTTCTTTCATGCCAAGGCTTGCTAATATTACTAATTAGGGTAATAAATCTGTCCCTTCGTTAACTAATCAGTAATAGTTACAGAAATAAAGTAATCCAATAAAGAATACGTTAATACAAGACATGGAACAAAAAGGTGACATGTTGACGTCTGGCAATGCTTCGAGTTAAAATATATCGCTTTTTACTACAAAATGCAATATCCGGTATTAAGGCGGGAAAGAACATTTTTCTTCTTTTATATACAAAACTTGCGTCAAAATTGAAGCTTAGAAGATTATACTGCTTAGATCACCACCACAAAATCCTTTACGACGGTCTATCTTATTTAAATCGTTTTCAAGACAGATTTCTAAGGCTCAATAATATTTCACATGCCTGACAGGAAATGCAGTTTTCAATTAGCTGTTCTAGCTTCCAAAATGCCGGTGTTTCTTGCTACAAGTATAACCTTTATAGACATACACAATCAAATATCGCATATATATGATACAGTGGAATCACTAGGGCTGGTGTCACCGACTGCGGTAATTTATGGTGTCACCCCCATGCACCACCTTCCTGCACAAAAATTCAAAAATTTTATAGACTGTAATTTTGGTGTCACCCCCTCTGATGGAGTGACCCGTTGCGATCCTTACCCATGTCATGTAATTATGCTTTGTTTCTGCGACTATTTGTTTCAATGGGGATAAAGAATACTCAGCATCGTAGATTAAGCTGTAAGGGCAATAAACTAAAGACGCCCCAGTATCGAACTTCTAATGATAATTGAAGGACTATAGCCGAAAACGCACAAGTAATGGAGACTTCTGGTAATTAACGAGACAATAGCCTAAAGACACAACAGTAGCGGAGATTGAACTGGGAGCTAATTAGGGAATATTTACAAATTTTGACACAACAACATAATGGAAACGTTTTGTAATAACAAGCTATGTACAGGAGCAGTCTGTAAATCTTTGCTAGTTTGCACAAACAAGTGCTTTTGTTCGTACATTTGTTTAAATACTTAACATGATCAAAGAAATAAAGATTAAAGCGAGAAAAATCTTATGGTAATTTTGTTAATATTAGTTGTAAACTGTATTATTAGCCAGAAAGTAATGCACCTTTCTCATTTAATAGCATTTTTGTATAACATTTTGTTAAACTGCACGCGTGTGAAAGTAGATTTTTATGTGATGCGTACGTAGATCGATCATATAGATCATGTAACGTGCCTAAGTATACCTTTCATCGGAATGGTTAGTAGTACTTGGGTCAACCGATGCACAGTACTGGCAGCGTGCATACACTGTGTATGGCGCATGTGTATAACATCATTTCACAATATAGTATCCAAGCATGATTCATTCATTGCAATACCTATTTCCGGACTGGACCATGTCTCTTATAAATATTCCACAGGAAAATCAACGAGTTATTCAGGTCGACATATATCTTTGTGTTTCCTTGTTCGTTCCTTTGTTATTTTCGGAGGTGAAAATGTGTAAACTCGGTGATAAAACTTCGACACACGCAAGTGAAATTCATTAGATCAACGAGTCTTTTTCAGATCGTTTTATCTGGACCGAACAAGTTTATCATCTTCCTCTCTGTATATTCAGTCTCCAGATTCCTACTATTTAGTAGCGAACTATTTTATTACGTCTATTCAGTTTTTATCATCTAGTTTTGCGATCACTGATATAAACTTAAAATATTTGTCTTCTTAAATTTTAAAACCTATATCGTCAAGTTGTTGCCTAACGTCAGATTAAAACGCTTTTAAATTGCCATTTAATTCATCTAAAGACAACAATACCAGGAACGATTAATTTTGAAGTTGTAACGTCATTGATATTCTTCAAAATCACCGGTGAGTAAGATCCGAGACGTGTCTTCTTCCGCATTTGATCGCCAGCAGGAAATTGTCTTAATCGG